TTCCTTCCTTCCTTCCTTCCTTCCTTCCTTCCTTCCTTCCTTCCTTCTTTCTTTCTTTCTTTCTTTCTTTCTTTCTTTCTTTCTTTCTTTCTTTCCTCCCCGCCCCCCCCAAAATAGTCACTGACATTTCCACAAAAAGTTATTTTCTTCTCTTGCCGAGGTGTTCAGATACTTCTGTGCATTTCATGATATCAATGTAGGCAGCTGGCTTTTGTCTACAAGTACCCAGCTGTTGAAAATAAATAATCACTTTGACAAAACAAACACCTGAACAGATTAAAAGGAAAAGAATGACTAATCTCTTATAAAGGTTCTGATAGAAGAGCTTAAACCACAAATGACATCAACTCCAATCCAAAATAATGCTAGTTACCTTTCTGAGAAACAAAAAGTAATTCTAAGCATTGTTAATGTGGGTGGGGATTGCATTGCAGGAATTCCTTTATGAATGATAGAATCAATTTCTTTCAAATGCTTCAAAGGTTTAGGAATGTAAGAAGCTTCATGCATGAAAAAATAATTCTTTGTAGTCAAGACAGCCATTATTATGCAGTAGCTTCCAAAGCAAATGGCAGTGCTGCTAGAATGCTGCACATACTTATATCTTCACACTACTGCTGTCATAGTGTAGTGAAGTTAATCATTATTATGGTCACAGACCAGCAAATAACAGGATTAAAACAATAATAGTAAAAAATAAAAATAAAAGATACTGTGATTGGTGGTGGATTAACACTGGGCATTAAAGTTTGCTTAATTTTACATAGAGCATAGCATAATTTGGCCACATTCAGATAAGCTATTTCATATTGATCTATGATAACAGTAGTTGCACATTAAAAAGATGTGTATTTCCTAGATGTTTTTATTAGGTAAGGTGTTATAAATTGAGTCCATGAGTCCTTATAGAAGATGCAATACAGCAGGATGTGAGCTAAGTTTCAATGGCTCCTTGTCCACAGGGGCACAATCTCAGCTCACATGGTATTTTTTTGTATTGGCCCTCCAAAACTGTCATGGGAAGTTCATTGCAGTGCCCTTAAAGGTTAATGCCCTTTGGATTTTTGGAATAGTTATTTGATATAAATATCTTGCTGCTTTAAAGGGGGGAGTTCGACTGTTCAAATAAACATTCTTGGGAAGAGCAGCCCAATCTTGTTGGATTTTTAGATTTTTAATACATTATTTAAGTTCGCTAAGTGTATACTCTGATCCCCTCATTAGAAGTACTTACCGTATTTGCCGGCGTATAAGACGACTGGGCGTATAAGACGACCCCCCAACATTTCCACTCAAAATATAGAGTTTGTTATATACTCGCCGTATAAGACTACCCCCTCTTCCACACACCTTCCACTTTTGCACTTTTTTTTTTTTTGACGCACTTTTCTGCTTTGGACAATTTTGAAATGAGCTAATCCAATTTTGAACCAAGAATATGCAAATAGCTATGGAGTTTAGAAATGAGTTTTAAAAATATTTTTCATTGCTTACCATTAAGCGTAAAAGATGTTGTAAATAAAATGAGAACACAGGAAACGTTCTCTTCTCAATACAGCTGATCTCTCTCTCTCTCTCTCTCTCTCTCTCTCTCTCTCTCTCTCTCACACACACACACACACACACACACACACACACACACACACACACACACCAAAAACCCGGACACTGAAAAGGCTGCCAAGGAACAGTATATTCAATGCCTTCTCTTTAATCAAGAAACAAGGAATTCCTTAGAAACTTTTTTTTTCCCCAAGTGGCCCTCTTTAAAAAAAAAAATGGAGGTAACACTTTCATTCAAAAAGTCTTCCAGTATCTGGAGTCGCTCAGACATATTGAAGTGAGGCAGGAGAGTAAGTGAAATTTGAAATGATCCAGCTACCGTTTTCTTCCCCTCCCGCCCAAAGGCCATTATCTCCGCGTCAAAACGAACGAGGGGAGGCAAAGAAGCCAAACACGCTAAAAAGGATCTCTTTATTTTCCTACACAAGGTCACACCTTTTCCGCATTCAAAGGACAACCTCTCCTCACCACCACCACACACACACACACACACCCCAATACCCGCAAACAATGTTCTGGGCATTAATCACCATTGCTACATTAACCTGGTAAATTTATACCCTGCCTCCCCCAGTGTTGCTTTGACGGCAGGATTTCACACAGCGGGGCGCTCGCTTGCTCGCTCTCTTCTCCGCTCTCCCACCGTTCGCACATGTTGGAAGCACCGTAAAACCTGATAACCCACCCGGGGGCTCCCCCATCCTTAACCTACAGCCGCCCGCATGCAAAACCTGCGTGCAAAAAGAAAAAAAGAAAAAGAAAAGTACGCCGCATGTGAGGATCTTCGAATCCTCTCCTCCCCACACCGCTAAGGAAGGAAGAGGGGGAAAGGTTGCGCAGCGCGTGGCGAGTGACACCCACCACACACACACACACACACACACACACACACACACACACACCGCTCCCCCCCCAGCCTCCCTCCCGGCTGCAACTCAAGCTCGAAGTGGGAGTCGGAGTCCTCCCGGCGTATAAGACGACCCCCCCACTTGGAGGCATGTTTTTCAGGGCAAAAAAGTCGTCTTATACGCCGGCAAATACGGTATCTGGAGAAACCAAGATACTGGAGTTTTTGTGAGATGGTCCTGACCCATATTGATTTGAAATTGTGTTCTATAAGGACATAACTCAAACTTGTAGAGAAAAAGTAGTTTTAACCAATGGGCAAAAATGTAAATCCATGCTCCTGTCTCAATTTTTACTAGTCCTGTCTCCCTACTGCATTTGGAACACAGTGCACTACCTGAAATGTGCTCTTATGAATTTGGATGCCCTACCCAGAGGAGTAAAAAGAACTGAGCCCCAAAGAATAATTATGCAGGGGTTCTTAGCTGAATATAATTTCAGCCCTGCAGGAATATACTGTGCTCCTGGAAAAATAAAGATTGAATTGCTATCTATATTCTGATCTATAAACTTGCCTGAGATAAAGGACGTAATGTATTGAATATTTCCATATAATATTCTATCACTTTTTATTTTAGCAAACCAATGATGGACTTATTGGTATACCTTTGTGCACAATACCATTTAAATCCTGCAAGCCACATTATTGATCTGATGTCAGCTGAGAAGAAACCAATCAAATTCAAACCTAACACACCTATTGGAATGCTTGAAGTTGACCAAGTGATTTTAAAGCCAAAAGAAATGGATAAGAAAAAGCCAATTCCTATCATCCCAGAGGTGAGAGAGTCAGTAAAGTTTATTATCATTCCTCTACTTCACTTATTTTTCATGTATTTAACTCTTAAGTGATTTTTTTTTTCTGAAGACTGTGGAGGTAGCATCAAAATTATTCATTACATTTTCTCTGACTTATAATTATCATGGGTTTTACTTTGAGATACATAAACACACACACACGTATATACATATACACATATAGATATATATATATATCTCAAATACATATATAAAACTTAGAAAGTAGTAATATCCTGCTTTAAGCCATATGTCAACTAAAGGGTGCTCACAGATACCAAAGTACTTGTGATACTATATAGTCAGCATTTGTGGTTCCACAAAGTTGATTTTTTAAAATTCAGATGAACTGAAATTTCATGACATTTGAAATAAGAATGCTCTAATCTTGTGAGGTGATGTATCCTTGTGCAAAGTTTTGAGATGCAGTTGTAAAATCTCACTAGAATACAGGAATATTTTAATACGCAATTAAGAAATATTTTGACTAGTAATGACCTATTTGTTTGTAAAGTTTATACTTCTCAAGCAGATCACCAAGACACCTAACAAAATTAAAAGTCATACAGTATCATTTGACACATAGAAAGATCCAATGCTGATCTATATTTTAGCTGTTCAGGCTGCAGTAATTTATTTTGGATCCTTCTTACCTAAAGAAGATGGAAGCTTCTTCTGTTTGTTTGCAACTTCTCCATGATATCCTAAAAATTGATCCTGGCAGGCCTTCCCTTTTAATAAGAGCAAATTGCTCTTGATGTCATACTTATGACTGTTTCTTCTTTTCCTGAGGAGAAAGAATATTAACAGCTAAAAATAACCTTGCTCCAATTCATTCCACAACGTATCAGTTTTAGGATAGTATGGGTGAATGAGGGAGGCCTAGCTTCATATCTTATAGGGAACTTGGAAGTGTAATGGAATTTTCTTATATTCTTAGAAGAGTTGAAGAAATATGGGACTGAATTACTATTCTATGATATTTTTCTTACGTTAAGTATTGCAAACATGTTTTGCATTAATGGACTCTGTAGAGCTATAGTGCACGGTGTGTTGAACTCTTTTAAAAAATTATATTGTTTTAGCAAACTGTGAGAGTTGTGGTGAATTATAAGAAGACACAGAAGACAGTTGTCCGAGTTAGTCCTCATACACCGCTTCAAGAAATTGTGCATATTATCAGCAGCAAATGTGATTTTGATCCTTTACACACTATTTTGCTAAAGACCTATCAATCTCAAGAGATTCTTGACCTGACAAAATCCCTTAATGACCTTGGACTCAGAGAGTTATATGCAATGGATGTCAGCAGAGGTAAGAGTTATGGTTTGTCTGTCTTCAGAACTGTTTGCTAAAAGAAATTATGTAAATATATTACACTTTTTTGAGATATAATTCTATTTCTGCATTCTTATTATTATCTAAAATAAAAAACAATTCATGATTGATTTTTGTAAACAAAATAGTATAAATGATATATTAAGTTCATTTTCCATTTATATTACTAGATTATCTTCATAATATGTTAGATAAAGTAACTTTCTAATATTTCATAGTTCACATTTGCTAATTCTGGAATCTAATTCAGACAATTTTTCTATTACCACTTTTTATTAACTTTCATGTTCAAAGTTCATTCTGTTTCCCCCTTTTCAGCTTTCAGATGCAATCCCTTCCCTAAGACTGCTGACCATAAAAGACAGGGGAAACTAGTGTAAATGGTGTCAGATAAGCCATAAAGTAGGAATGTTTCAACATTATTTATTTATTTATTTATTTGTTTGTTTATTTTTGTCAATTGCTTACAAGATAATAGGTATAAGTAAAAACATAGTTATGAATACATGGATACATATAAGAAAAATAAAAAATAAAAGAAACAATAGGACAGGGACTGTAGGCACGTTGGTGCGCTTATACACGCCCCCTACAGACCTCTTAGGAAAGGGGTGGGGTCAATAGTAGAAAGACTAAGGTTAAAGTTTTTGGGATTTGGGGAAGAAACCACAGAGTCAGGTAGAGTATTCCAGACATTGACCACTCTGTTGCTGAATTCGTATTTCCTGCAATCAAGTTTGGTGCGATTAACCTTGAACTTGTATCTATTGTTTGCTCTTGTGTTGTTATGGTTGAAGCTGAAGTATTCATTGACAGGTAGGACATTGCAATGTATAATTTTATATACTATACTTAGATAGGACTGAAGGCGGCATAGTTCTAGGTTTTCTAGGCCTAGAATTTCGAGTCTGGTGGCATAAGGTATTCTGCAACAAGTAGAGGAGTGGAGAACTCTTCTTGTGAAATATTTCTGGACTTTCTCAACTGTGTTAATATCAGATACGTAATGTGGGTTCCAGATTGATGAGCTGTATTCGAGTATTGGTCCAGCAAATGTTTTGTATGCTCTAGTTATTAGTGAAATATTACCAGAGAAAAAGCTACGTAACATTAGGTTAACATAGTGTAATAGTTATAGTATTTGGCTGAGGAGAAACAGATTCAACTCCTCAGCCAAAGAAACTCAGTGGATGTCCCAAAGGTGCTTTTTCAAGAGGCAATTCGATTTTCTGTTTTTTCTTTGAAGATGTTTTGCTTCTCATCCAAGAAACTTCTTCAGCTCAGACTGGATGGTGGGGAATGGAAGCATTTGTGGTGATATATATCTTTTTTTAAATAAAAGTTTTATTGGGTTTTAACAAAACATAACAAATAAAACATCTTTTTTTGAGAACAGAATGATTCCAGATTATCACATATACAGACACAATCTCAAATACATATTCATCCTATATATTCAGATTCATATCTTAGCACTATTTTTTCAATTTCTCAATATTTTTTCCCTTACTTCCCTTAATCTTCTGTTATAATTATCTCATTTCTTTCTAATTCAATTACATTTCTCTTTCTAGATTTCTATATCTTTCTATTCATTATACTTATACTTTCGTCTATCCTGTTTACAATTTCATATTCTCTTCCATCATCATTTTTTACCTCCTGAAAGAGGTAAAAAAAAAAAAAATTCCCTCCCCTTCCAGGCCTTGAAAAGCAAGATTCCCCCTATAATTGCCAATTAGAGTGTGGCACCTTTGAATCTTATAATTATTGTCATATAAAATCTCATTAAAATTTAATTTATACATTATGGAATTATAACATTCAATTTCTAATATCTATTTTATATCATATAACTCTCATCAACCGAATTCCGCTTGGTACTTTCCCTTGGGAATACACAGAAAATTCTAAAAAAAAATTTGTGTGTGTGTATGCGTGTCTGTCTATCTATCTATCTATCTATCTATCTATCTATCTATCTACCTATCTACCTATCTATCTATCTAAAGCAAAATAATTATTCTATTCAAATTCATCCTAACAACTGGTATTGATTCCACTGTAAATTTTTCACATTTCTTTTCAATTGTATTTTATCAATTTTTAAAAACAATTAAAATATTTCCATTCCTTCTTCTTATTTCAACTTATTAATAAACATACCATTACATAACAATGCAGTTTTATCTTGTAATTTAATTACCTACTTCATTTCTAACTCATTACTATATTCTGCTCTAACAACACTATCTTTTGTACTCTTGCAGAATTCTCACTTTTAGTTTGATTTAACCATTATCTCTATGACTTCTAAATAAGCTAATGCCTTTGATCCTTGTACTGTTTCTTTATTTCCAGCTTTTGTCCCTTATAACTTTTTTTCCTCTTTCTCTTTTCCCCCTTTTTCTCACTGCCTTTTTTGTCCCCCTCTCTCTCACTCTTCCTTCTGTAATTCTCTTTTCTGCTGCTCCTTACTGTTGTGCTTCTTTTTCAAACTATTCTTTTTTTAGTTCCCTTTAATCTTAAACTTTTAACTCATTTTCCCCATTTTACCCCACATTGCATTATTTGATCATGAAAAATGGCTTCTTCTTTGTCCCGCCCTTCTTCTTGCTCTTCAAGCACTTCGTGTTGTTTTTCATAGTTCAAAATCTCCATTTCTAAAAATTGAAATACGAAGCCAAAAGATCCTCTTCTCTCTTGTGCATCTTCTTTCTATTTTTTAACTTCCATTTTTAATTCCTCAAGGAGTGATACTATTTTAAGCACTTTTAAACAGCCACCCGATTGACTTTAATTAAAGATCCAACACCCAAAATTTTAAAAATCACCAATTAATCCAAAGCGGTTTCTTCTTTTCCTTTCCAGGGTTCTGTTATCTTTTAATAAAGTTTCAGTTACAATGTATCCTTTGGAATTCTTTTCAAAGTTTCACTGTTAATCCCTTTTATTTCCAGGTGGCACTCCATTATTCTTTCCAAGTTCTACCCTTTTTCCTCCACTCTTCTCCTTTTAAGGGCTTTAGAGTATTCAGGAAGTCTTTATTTTCCTTTTGACACTTTAATTTCTGCTTAAGATTGCCTATTAGTGTCAAAGTAAATTATCACAAATTTCTTACTTAGATTTCTTCTTTTTAACATCAAAGCCGATTGTAATTGTCAATATGAAAATAGAAAAAAGGATTTTTCTCCTCCTTTTCTCTCTTCTTTGCCACTTTAAAAATCTTCTTTTAGGAATAGCACTCTTAATACTTTTAAATCCAGGATACTTTGCTTAGATGTTGTCTCTGATTAGCCCGGTCTGTCCTGCAATCCCCTTTTGTCTTCCTCCTGCTCATTATTGTCTGGTTGGGTTCTTCTTTGAGGTGGCCATTTCTGACCACCGCTTCAATGGCCTTCGGGAAAGGGAGTTTAGACCAGCTGAGGAGGAGAGATGCGGCTCCCCTCTACTCAGCTAGCAGTCTCCCCCCTCTTCGCCACCTTCTTCAGCCCCGAATCCAAAGGATCAGGGTGCTCCGGCAGCAAGCATGGATCAAAATCGCGCATGATCGCAGATTTCAGTCCGTCGCCGAAGAAGCCCAAACCGGAAGTCCCGTGATATATATCTGTTTGTGGATTTTTGGATATATAAATCCTTCCATTCCCCACGATCCAGTCAGAGCTGAAGAAACTTCTTGGATGAGAAGTAGAATGTCTTCAAAGAAAAACCAGAAAGTCCAGTTGCCTCTTGAGAAAGCACTTTGGGGACAATCATGACTTGGATGACTGAGAATCTGAATCAATACAAGAGCACACAATAGATACAAACTCAAGGTAAACTGCACCAAACTCAATTGCAGAAAATACGACTTCAGCAACAGAATAGTCATTGCCTGGAATACACTAGGTGACTCTGTGGTTTTTCTTCCTCAGACCCCAAAAACATTAACCTTAGACTGGGCTACTATTGACCTCACCCCATTCCTAAGAAGTCTGTAAGGGGCATGTATAAGCTCACCAATGTGCTTACTGCCCCTATCCTAATGTTCTTTTTTATCGGTATCCATTTCATGTATTCATAATCATGTTTATACTTACACATGTTATCTAATTCATGATTGACAAAATAAATAAATAAATAAATAAATAAAATGATTTTTGTTAGGAATGATAGTCACCTAACAGTTGGGTTGGCAATATGTAAACCAGGATAGTTATTTAATACTGTTGTATATTTAAGAGAGAGCTGTAATTGTTATTGGCTGAGGTTCCTCCAACAGCCATAAGATGAAGCCAGAAACCTTCTTGCATTTTCCCTTTTGCTTTTGCCTGATTGTCGTTCTGCTTGGATTGCTGTGAGTCTTGCAACCTGTTAGCAAACTCCATTTACTGGACTTTGTTTTTGGATTATCCCTGGATTGATACTAACTGCTTTAACCTTGTATGATTTGGACTGTTTGTTGGACTTTGTTTACTCATTTACTGGAAGTAAAACCTACATTTTACTATTCAGTGTATCTGTATGCTGGTTGTGTGTTATTCCTCACCACTCTCACTACATTTCCCTGAGTGCACTCATTCTCCTAATGGGGAATACCTCAACATTGGTTATGGGCCCAGAACCTACCAGGCTCAGATAACTGAGAATTAGTGTGAATACACAGTACCATATACAGACAGCTGTTTACTGTTTAATTGTGGGTTACTGTCCTGGTAAAGATGGAACAAGACCCGTCAACAAGTCTATCACTGATAACCCGGTTGGATGGAACAAACTATGTTTCCTGGTCTATGAAGTGCAGTCTACTTCTGCATAGGGCTGCAGTTCAGGATCCACCGGATGCAAATGCTTGGGATCCAAATAATGAGGACGATGCCAAAAAGTTAGCTGACTTTAAACGGAACAACGAACGAGCTCTTTGTATAATTGGACTAACACTGAATGACCAGCAGCTAGTTCATATTCGTGGAGAAAAGTCTGCTGCTAGGTGTTGGGAGAATTTGAAGAGGATTTATGTTCGTGACAGTGTAGGTGCACACATACCTTTTACACATAAACTGTTTAGAGCACGTCTTCTGAAAGGTGGAGATATGTTTGCTCATTTGAACTTCATGAAAAGAACTTTTCAAGAGCCTAAGGATGAACTAAGTTTAACTGCATATGCCGATGCAAGTTTCGCTACAGACGTACCTACACGGAAATCAATGTCAGGTACTGTAGTGTTATTAGGAAAGGTGTTAATTGGATGGCGGTCTGTTCGACAAAAACATCTAAGCTTATCAACAATGGAGGCTGAATTCTCATGTTTGTCTCTATTATGTACGGAATTAGTATGTTATGAACAACTAATGATAGACATGGGAAGTAATGTAAAGGAACCTATTGTTGTATATGAAGACAACCAATCCGCAATTCAGATGGCTTCCAATCTCTCCATAAAGATAAGATCAAAACACACCGATCTACGATATCTAAATGTAAGGCAATGTGTTCAAAGTAAAATGATTACACTGAAGTATTGCATGTCAGAGAATAACATTGCTGATCATTTTACGAAAGCCCAAGGCACTGTAAAACATAAGGTTTGCTGTAAAGAATATGGACTTAAACTATAAGGTTTTATATATTGTCCTACCGAAAGGGGAGAATGTTAGGAATGATAGTCACCTGATAGTTGGGTTGGCAATATATAAACCAGGATAATTATTTAATACTGTTGTATATTTAAGAGAGTGCTGTAATTGTGATTGGCTGAGGTTCCTCCGACGGCCATAAGATGGAGCCAGAAACCTAGTTTGTTCTCTTCTTGCATTTTCCCTTTTGCTTTTGCCTGATTGTCATTCTGCTTGGATTGCTGTGAGTCTTGCAACCTGTTAGCAAACTCCGCTTACTGAACTTTGTTTATGATACTGGACTTTGTTTTTGGACAATCCCTGGATTGATACTAACTGCTTTAACCGTGTATGATTTGGACTGTTTGTTGGACTTTGTTTACCTGTTTATTGGAAGTAAAACCTACATTTTACTATTCAGTGTATCTGTATGCTGGTTGTGTGTTATTCCTCACCACTCTCAGTACGTTTCCCTGAGTGCACTTATTCTCCTAACAGGGAATACCTCAACAATTTTAGGCCAGTCATACAATATCAGCCCAATCTATTCCTCTTGGTTATTTTTAAGGCATATATTGGAGGAAATTTGGTGTGTGAGACTCTTAAGAAAATACTCTTTTGTTTACAAAGGCTTCCATGAGTGGATTAAGCAATACTTTATTCATTTATTTCTACTTGTTGTTATTTTTACAAATTTCTCTAGATGGTGAACATTTTCAACAGGCCGTCTTCCTCCTGGTTTCCCCACAACAGCAATACTGTGAGGTGGATTGGGCTGAGAGAGAGAGTGACTCGCCCAAAATCACCCAGTTGGCTTTCATATATATGCTTCTGGAACATTTTATAGTGCACCAGTTGTATTGTCCACTAATTTATAATATGGCCTTTCTTTCTAGATGGGATCGAATAGGTTTTTTTTAACATCTTGTCTATGTAGCCTTCAGATGTTCTGTTGAAACTTTGTAAATAAGCATTTTAAATACAAATAAATTTGCATTTTTTGTCTCTCTAGCCACGCCAACTACTGAATACAGCTTGTCTTCATTACAAGGTTAGTCATCTTGATCTTAGAGATATAAATAATAAAACACTGAAATTCACAACTATTCTTGTTCAATGATGTTTGAATCCACAATACTAATTAACATTTATCTAAATGGGATAACACTGATTTGTATTTGATAACATTGATTATGTATAGTACATCTAGGATTACTCTTCAATGATCAGATAACTGTTGAACAACAATAGAGTAATTGTGTCCAGTTCTTTCTTTGGTGTTACCTGAGAAGTTGCATAAGGACTGGAGGAGGAAAAAAAATACATGACTTTCTACTCTTAAATATTTCTACTATATCATTGGAAGTACATATTTTTTTGGGAGAAACTCAGAGATTAAATTTTGACCAGTCTCACACAAATTAATAACTGAAAAAGTGTAACAAATAGCATGTATTTGTTTAAAATCAATGGTCATCATAATGATTAAAAATGAAAGTGAGAAAGGGGAAATAAATATCTAGAAAACTTATTTACTGCTCTGAAGATTAATGATTTGTTTTCTCAAAAATCTCCTTTGTGGGAAAAACAAATTCTAATTCAAATGTTGACAGACAGCACATATCAGTACTGTACTCCATTGTTGCAAATGGAGCACGATGCTTGATGCTTTGATACCATCCAAATTCTAGGAATATAGCCAAATAAAAATAAACCTCAAATAGTATTGATGAAAGAAATTGGATCTATAAACTTGGAATAAAATTGTTGATTAGTAGATCTGAAATCTATGTATATTTTCTAAACTAGTATAATACTATGTTGTTTAATTTATTTGAGTATAAGGGTCAATATCTTAGTAGACTTCTCTGCCTTTCCTCAATATGATTCCCTGAAAGTTATTTTTATTTCAACTCCCCTCCCCCCCCCACTTCCCCACTTTTTCCCATTTTATACTTCAGTAGAACCTAAGTAGGACATGGACAGATGTGATGTAATATTTTTGCTTTTTAAAATATTAATAACAGTGGAGTCTCCTTTGTATCATGTAATATTAAAAGGCTAGGGTTCCAGCTAAGGATAATCAAGTGTTGGGAGTTTTAAAGAAATGGGGACTGGAATTGCTTGCTTTTTGTGGAGATTCATATTTTACCCAGAAATGATCTAGCTTTTACAGGAAGATTGAGCAAGTTCATGTACGTAACAACTCTAAACATGAAGGAAGTATTGCCATTTTAATTAGTAGAGTTGCTAAAATGTTTGTTGAAGAAAATTATGTCCGAGTGGTTAATCAGTGTTTAGTACTCCTGAATTTATGAGGCTTGACCATAGATTCTCCAGAACAAATGCATAGCTGTTTTCAAGAATTGTATGATAAGCCTCTAGATCAGTGATTTGAATCAAACTCCAACACTCAAATTATATTCTTGCATTCATAACATTTTTCACAATTATGTATGGTTTTAATTTAGTAGCTATTTGACATTCTGCTCATATTTCCAAACGATCATGTGCTTTCTTTTATATATAGAAATGAACAGAGGGAGGGAGGGAGGGAAGGGGAGAGAGAATGTTATACAGTTATAATTAGTATTTATTGCTTTATTTTGGGGGCTTAGACTCTGGTCTTTTTATTTACTTAGTTTTGTGTTGATATATATCTACATAGAATAGAAATATCCTTTATATAGCACACAGAGATTCACATACATTTATTTGGAGCTTTTTACTGTGCTAAATCATTTATTCATTACCAGTTGCCTATTTGTTGCAAAGAGCCTGAATTGACTTATTCAATTTTTTTAATTGCTCCTATTGTAAAAAAAAATTCCCACTAATAAAAAAATATCCAGCATTCAGCCTTTAGAAGCTGGTTAGCTTTTAGAAGGAATTATGATATAGGTATAATAATTACTTTTCAGACTAATGAAAATTGATGAGATTGTTACAATAGATAAACAGGTAGTTGCACATTTTTCTGTTTTTCAGTGAAAATGTCTACCACCTAACAGGAAGGCTATTAGAAGAAAATTTTTAAAAACCCTATGCTCTGAAGAATTTATTTTAAATGCAAACTAATTCAGTTGCTTGGATTCATATCACCCCATTCATTTCTCACTAAGGACAATTCTTTGAGAATTATACATAGAAAGAATCAATTTTGAGTTTTAAGATGTTTTTATTTTATAGATTAATCAGAAAAAGATATGCAGATCACATCTTGCTTTGATACAGATAAAATAGTTTGAATCTAAAACTGCAGAAAATGTGTCAGATTAAATGTCCTATTCAAGATTTATTATCTATAATGCAAAATAGTTTTCCATTGATATTACTGAACATTGTACTGATTTTCAAAGATCTATTATATAATAGAAAGAGAAAAGAGAAAAAGAGAAAATTGAAGAAAATATGAATAGAAGCTAGAAGTTGTGACACGATACTTTTTTTTAAAGACTCTTTTCAGAATGCACAAAATTCAGATAACTTGAAAGAGAAAGAAACTAAAGGATTCTTTGGCATTTTTCAACGGAGCAAAAAGAAACGGCAACAGGTAACAAACATATAAGTGTTTATAGTTAGAAGGTAAGATAGAAGGTAAGCTTGAGCAGGTCATTTTGAGCTGGCTTGGATGGTTTGTCCTGCTAAAGTTAACTGGAGTGGTTATTTTTTTAGCCCCGTAACTTCTTTCAGTTTCTCTCACAGATCAAAAGGCCCATATTTCCTGATCTTTCCTGATCAAAAGTCATGGAGTATCCCTATTTCTTTGCTTCTAGGAATTTCTTACACACACAACATTCGTGCATGGATCTTCACAATATCAGTCCCAGTTGTTCCTTTTTACCCAAAGATTGCAACCTAAAGAAACTATTCCATCCAAGTTCTGAAGACCCTATTTTTGAGCTGTTTTCTGAGATTTTACCCATTGTGCAAATATTAATATAGTCACATCTCCCCCTTGCCTACAGAGTAAGACCATATGTGGTTCTGTCTTACTTTTCCTCCTCAGTGTAAGGGGGTGGAATAGTTTCCTTAGGTTGCAATATTTGGGTAATAAGGAATAACTGGGACTGGTATTGTGAAGATGCATGCATGGATGTTGTGTGTGTAAGAAATTCCTAGGGTGGCCTAATGGGCCAGATCTAAGTACCCTGTGGGCCAGATCCAGCCTGTGGGCCTTGAGTTTGACACCCCTACCATAGACCAAAGGCAGGGTGAAAAGGTAAAAGGCATCAAGAATGAGCCTGCTTTTATGCTTGAATTGGTAAAAGAGAGGTTAAAGAACATACATCTCCTGTGTTCAAGATTTTGTAACCTAATCCTATTTTTCATATCAATAAACTTAACTAATGAGATGTCTGAATCTAGATTTTCAGGATATTAGGGGACTAAATCCTTACATGTTAACATGATGGGAACCAGGGATAATAAAATGTTCTGTGCCTGCATGGAAGGGTTGGTGCTCAAATCAAAACACACATTTTGGTCCAAGGATGGAGTGAATTGAGGCTGTTTTATAATCCATGCATGGTCTGAAGTAGGCCTATTTTGGTTGAAGTGGCATGTGTAAGGAGCCAGGGATAGTGACAGATGAGAGGAGGATAGGAGATAGAAAGGGTAAGATACTTGGAAGATACTTGGAAGTGGGAGACAGGCTGCTAGGATACATAATACTATATAGCAATTTTGATGGAGGCCTAAGGGAGGAGGGAAAGAAGAAAGGCATTGGGAAGGGAGAGTGGCTAATGGGATATGCAGATAAGCATCAGCAGTGGCAGCTGGGGGAAGGTGGTAGGAAAATACAGTAGGACTGATGAGTCAACGGGATAGGCTCCATTGCAACATTGGTGGCAGCAAAGAATCTGAATGGAAGGATAGAATGTACTAGGAAGATCTGGAACAGGTAAGGTAGAAGGATATACCATGCTGGGACATTGAAAGAAGTAGAATAGGGAGGATAGAGAAGAGGAATAGAGAAAAGGGGGGGTATTGCAATGCCCCACCTTGCCCCAGTTCAGTTTTGGCCAACCCAGAATAGTGAAGGCATTATTTTTGTTGATGATGAAATATAAACAAATCAGTGTATCAGTCCATCTCCTCATGGTTTCGGTATTGAGCTGCTTGGGGAAGTTCCTGCAAGAAAACAACTTCTGGGCTGTTTATGCTACATTTGAATGTGGCCTTATACTAAATGTGAATAATTAAAGAAGTCAGATGGTCGAAAATCTAATCAAATTATTTTTTTTCCCTATCTCCACCCCAACCTCAATAAGACGGCCAGTGCTCCTGCAACACCACTCATGAACAAGCCAAGGCCGGCCTTTGCTGTGAGATCCAGTTCAATTTCAAAACAGTACGAGTCAAACACTCTGCCCTCTGAAATGCCCAAAAAGCGCCGAGCACCTTTGCCTCCCATGCCTGCTTCACAAAGTGTGCCCCAGGATCTTGCTCAAAGCCAGAACAAACCTAAGATCTGTATGCTGAAATCCAGTAGTGTGGATGAAACTGATAAGGTTGGTCATTAACATTTTGCTCCTTATTTCTTCTCTGGGAATAATTTTAAAATAACATCTGAATAGTTTAATGAGAATAATCACCATCATGCTTTCCAATTAAATTGTGAGAGTTAACTAGAACCAAATTTTGAGGATGCTTCTGAAATCAACCATGGCCACAAAATTGCTTCTTTATGTTCAGATTTCACACTGAGCATAATGGATCAACGCTATCAGCAAGTGTTGCGTGCCTAATTAGCAAAAGAAAACTCAGGACCATATTGGTTGGAAACATGCAGAAGAGGCCTTTATCCTGCAGTGGATAGACAATGGTTAAAATGATGATGATGATGATGATGATGATGATAAATACATCAGACACGTAGACAGGATAGATCGTAAGAAATATATTGTATGAATTTGGAATGTAACCCTGTGTTTCAGGTTTTTTTACATTTATGGTAATAAGACACAGAGGAAAATGCTAAAACTTTTCTCCTGTTAGAATCCTTGAAGAAAACTTCCAAATCAAAGTGTATATTCTTATACTTTCAAATGAAATATGTGGACATCTGATAACTGTGCTTAGGGAGGAATTCATTATTCATAGAATCCTTCTTCACTCAAACTAGCATTTATTATCAGACTTCTAAAGCAGTGGCTTTAGATATTAACCTTTAATTTGTAGATGGAAGTTAAATATTAATATTAAATGCTGAAAAACTTAATATGATCAAAACAGTTCAGTAATCATAAGTTTAGCTAGTTTCATTGGTTGTTAAAAATTTATTTTGAAGCAATATCAAATTGCAATTTGAATTCAGCTTTCCCAGTCAAACAGATATTTTCTCTATTTTCATTAAATGTGAAAAAGTATAGTTTAAGTATAAAATAAAAAAAGATTTGAAAATTTGTGTTTTCCAGATTGTCTTCCCCATCCTTTATGAAAAATATAGCTAAATACATTACTGGGAAAAGGTTTCCCAAGCAATTCAAACCATTGCATTATTAGAAACATATCCAATCCTTAAGAAAATCAAATTTTACTTATTGGCAGAACATGGAATATTTAAAACTAATGTTTTTATCTTAATAACCTTGCCTGTTTCTATAATAAAGCATTTTAATGAAGTTATAAAGGAGGCTGCCAGGTCAAATCTATCTATATAAATCCCATACATGCTGAATTTATTCCAGCATAGTTTGAGGGGAAAATTAATGCCGTTAGTAATATCTTAGTAAAACATAAATTGTCAGTTGTGAATTCCAATTAAAAATCAAAGCTAAGTGTATTAGCGTAAATGGGAATATGTGTACTGAGACAACACTTTGAATCTAGAATAAAGGGCATTTTTCTAATATCCTAGAATATATGAGCATGCTATACAGATGAAGAGAAAGTGAAAGAAGAAAAGGAAAACCAGGCCCAGTAGATGAATGGAACATAAGTGCAATCAATGAATAGTATTTTTGTTTGCCTAAAATACAGTTATTTCTATTTTTTATAAAGCCTTAACCACAAGAGTGCGCTGTTTAACAGAGGTTTGGAAATCTGTAACTAACTAAAAAAAAGTCTTCCTTTGGGAAAAGGCAGTGGTCATATCAGTGCATTCTTCAGATAATATCAGAGTAAACTGGTTATGTCAGTTAAGAATCTGTAAGCATCTGTGTAAGACATAAATGTATGCCTCTCCAGATGTCTTAGTCTAGTTTGTACTTTGCCAAAATTCTGGTAAAGCTGTGTCTTGGGAAATGCACCAGCTCTAGAACAATAGATGAAGCATTCGTAGATACTATTTGTACCCATAGCATCTCCATCTTGCATTCTCAGTTTGTTTTGCTTGACCCAGTCACTCACAGCCTCCAGACATTGGGTCAAATCTTCAACCTCATCTCTTAATCCAAAATCCTCTCAACAGGCCATCCTTTTTTCATTCATTGTCTTTATATATCTGTTTCTGCCATCCCAGTTGGTTAATTTGTCCACATCTCCCCTTTCTTCTGTTTTGTAGTCCTTTGAGTTCCCACTCTTTCATTTTCATGCATATATTTCTGCACTCTGAATTCCAGTGATCTCCTTTCCATCATTTACAAAATCCTTTATACTTCTCTCAAACTTTGCAGTTGTTTCTCTATACATTTCTCCACAATAAATTGTTCATCCCCCCCCCCCCCCCCCCCCCCTGCTTTCCATCATAAGTATGCAAACTTCCTAGCCCTCTTCACATCACTGCTAGCTACTGGAAGCTGCAGTCATCCACTGGCCCACACTATTAGCAGCCTGTGAGGGACTTCAAATCAAGTCTCTCCTACTTAACTGCGGCTTTCAGATATGGGGTGCTGGTACGCCACCTTCAGAATGATGATTTCCCATCATAGTGGGAAATAAAATCATAATAATTTGGTTCTGAAAGCCACTTGGGAAATTTCATTCTGTGAAATGCTTACAATAGTTTTTCTGTCTTGGTTTTCACAATGTCTCTTATCCCTTTCTTTAGCTCCTCAGCTGCTCTCTTGTGCTCACTGAGTTCTTTCCATAGATTGATCTCACATTCTGACTGAATGTTTGCAGATCAAATCTTGCTACTCTCCCTACTTTAACCTACTTTCCTAAATATATGATGTCAGTGATTCATGGTCTCTTCCATAATGTGCATCTTGAATTGGCCTAGCTTATTGGATTACACTTTTTCTGTTTCCTATTTCCTATTATGTAGTTAATTTAATGCCAATGTAGCTTACCCATTGATGTCCAATATTTGTGTTTGTATTTATATTCCTTGCAGCAGATGTTGCAATAATCAAAAAATTATCTTCCTAAAACTTTACTAACTTATCTCCTATATTGTTGACCTTATCCTGTCTAAGTAATTCCAGCTTTAGTTTTTTAATTACTGACTGGTACTATTACATTTTTGTTAGATGTTTAATTTAAAACCACTTTATAATTTGCCAAAACATTCTTCTATGCCTATCTCCATTTCATGTTCAGTGTAACATTGTACATTCTATAACATTGATACTAAGTGAATATCCGCTAATGTTGTTAGATATGATTATTGTTAATTGAGATATAGTGGAACACATATACCTTCTTGAGTATTAGGCCATTCCCTTCCCTCATAGGATTTCATATCTTTTTTAAAAATACATTTGTTGAAGAGTTTAATAATAATAAAATGATAATACAAATTGAAATCAGAAAGGAAAAAAAATGTTTAAATCCCATCAAGGGTTTACAGAATGTATAGAAATATTTCATATTTTAACCTGGATCAAACAAGCAACTTTATATTCCTTTCTTTTACTTCTGATGGTCTTATCTTTAATTCCTCAAGTTGTTGGCATAGGATTGAATCGTCTTTCAAACTTTCTTTCTGTCATCTCAAGAGATTTCTTCTAGGCTTTAAAAACCCTCTTTTGTAAATCCAATGGTAAATCTTGTCTAGGACATGATTTCATATCGAAAATTAAATAGAAACATCTGATTTAAAGCTGTCCATTACTATTCATCCAAGTTCTCCTGTCCTAAAACTTGCAATCTGCGGTGCTTCATTTCTTGGTTCCTGCATCTCACATTACATTTTAAACTTATATTTATTTGTAAAATGTAGAAGTTCTCTTTCAATTCTAGGGGCTAATCTGCAATATTGCTCTAGCTAAATCATATCTTCTCTTACTTCTGAAAGTTCAGCGTTCTTCCTTGTTAATTAGAGTGGGAGCACTAATAAAATCCAGTGGATTGATTATGTGATCCCTGTGTCTTTGTCTCCTGTTTTTCAGACGGTTTTGAAGCTGTGTTCTGTCTCATACAGCTACTGCTGAGATGTAACTTAAAAGGAGAATTGCAGGCAAAAAGGCAAAGTGACTTGTTATATTATCTTAGCACTAGACTAAACTGAAGCACCTTTGTCCCAGCTGAACATTCTGCTCTGTTTTGATAAAGGAAAGCATTTATCTATGCTAGTGGCAATATCAGACAAAGGCAAGGAAAGCCAGCTAAAAACAATAAGTTTCACTTATTATAGTCTGCTTTCTTGGTTTTGAATGGAAAATATAAGAATTTGATTATCTTCTTTGAAATTTTTCATCTTATTTGAGAAGAAAATGAGATGTGCAACCTAAAATTGCTCTGTGTCAGCCTTTTCCAGCCGTAGCCCTTCAGGTGTGATGGACTACACTCACCAGAATTTCCAGACACTTTGGCAGACATTTGGGGAGCTATAACCCAGTACACCTGAAAGGCTACTTTTACGATATTGAAAGTTTCAGGTGGTTTGAGAACTACACACAGCTTTTTTCCGAGTATCACAAAGGACAAACCAGAGGTAATTTTGGATTGCCTGTACGTCTTGCAAGAGGGGATGCTTGTTGATGTGTTACTTTTCTAAATGCATGAGATTATTTTTGTTTGGTTTTGTTAACTCATGAAGAAGTTCGCTGGAACCCCATCTTCTCGGTCTCATAACAACATGAAATCATTGTGTGACACTGAAGACAAGAAATTGTGTGAGAGTGTGTGTGTGTGTTAGTTATATAGTTAACTATTCAGTTGTAACGTTTAGCATTGCTTCTTAGCTTAGGAAGTCACTAATTAGAAATTTGAAGATGATGTCTCCCTTAAGTCAACATCTGGTGATGATACAGGCATGTCTGTATTGTTTCCTTGGTAACGGTATAGAAGTCATTTGCCCCTGTTGGCTTCTAAAATGCTTTTTGACTTTCTGGGCTAACCTACAAACCCTGGGATTTCCTGGTGCTTTCCCATCTGAGTACTAAACAAGCTTTTTCAAGATCATCCAAGGTCTGCTAAGTGCTGCCACTTCACTGTTAAATAATGAGCGAGGTCTGCACGGGCAGATAGATTTTAAAGCTTTAGCTCACTTGTAACATTTAAAGGTTTACTTTTTTTTTCTGAGCAACATGCAAGTAGATTTTTCCCTCAGCTAAATATAGCTTGGTAGAATAGAATCTAGGATGAATAAAATATAAGCTGCCATTTTTTCGTTTTCTTACAG